AATCCAATCAAGAAATGGGCAGAACATATGAACAGACATTTTTCCAAAGAAGACATCCAAATGGCCAACAGGCACATGAAAAGTGCTCAACATCGCTCGGCATCAGGGAAATCCAAATCAAAACCTCAATGAGATACCACCGCACACCAGTCAGAATGGCTAAAATTAACAAGTCAGGGAACGACAGATGTTGGCGGGGATGTGGAGAAAGGGGAACCCTCCTACACTGTTGGTGGGAATGCAAGCTGGTGCAACCACTCTGGAAAACAGTATGGAGGTTCCTCAAACAGTTGAAATTAGAGCTACCGTTCGATCCAGCAATTGCACTACTGGGTATTTACCACAAAGATACAAATGTAGGGGCCCGAAGGGGTACGTGTACCCCAATGTTTATAGCAGCAATGTCCACAATACCCAAACTGTGGAAAGAGCCAAGATGTCCATCAACAGATGAATGGATAAAGAAGATGTGGTATACATACACAATGGAATATTATGCAGCCATCAAAAGGAATGAGATCTTGCCATTTGCAACGACATGGATGGAACTGGAGGGTGTTATGCTGAGTGAAATAAGTCGATCAGAGAAAGACATGTATCACATGACCTCACTGATATGAGGAATTCTTAATCTGAGGAAACAAACTTAGTGTTACTGGAGTGGTTGGGGGTGGGAGGGATGGGGTGGCTGGGTGATAGACATTGGGGAGAGTAAGTGCTACGGTGAACGCTGTGAATTGTGCAAGACTGTTGAATCACAGATCTGTAATTCTGAAACAAATAACGCAACATATTTTAAGAAAAAAGAAAAAGAAGAAGATAACAGGAGAGGAAGAAAAGGGGAGTATGTCAGAGGGGGAGACGAACCATGAGAGAAGATGGACTCTGAAAAACAAACTGAGGGTTCTAGAGGGGAGGGGGGTAGGGGGATGGGTTAGCCTGGTGATGGGTATTGAGGAGGGCACGTTCTGCATGGAGCACTGGGTGTTATGAACAAACAATGAATCATGGAACACTGCACCAAAAACTAATGATGTAATATATGGTGATTAACATAACAATAAAAAAATAAAATAAAATAAAATAAAATGGGCTTTTTCCATACGTGAGAATCTCCTTGGAGCTTTTGTCAGAAATGCAGATTCGTGGGCTTTATCCCCAGGGCATTCTAAGAGGCACACAGTGACTCTGATGGAGGTGGTCTTTAGCTCTGCAGCTGGTGCCCAGGGACGGGACCCCTGTCTGCTGCATGATACCCCATTTCCCGTCTAACATTCCAGTGGTCCATGCTGCCTTCTCGAAGTTATATTCTACATTCTCTATCATACACGAGATAAATATGCTCAAAGAGATAATTAAGTGATCCACGAAAGCATATGGGACATGTGGTGAGGCTGCTTTGGCATCTTGGACTGCTTTTCTGAAGGCTGTGCTTCTATTGCTTCAGCCCAGAACGGGGATTGGGTTTGAATGGAAAGATGGTTGGGACTGGAGATCAGTAAAAGCTCATTATTGCTGGTAACTGTTATCTATCCACTTGACAAGTATTTACTGAATGTTTCACCTGGCAGGCTCTCGGAGGCACGGGGGACATGGGGTGAGCAGGCAGACCCAGTGCCAGCTCTCAGGAAAAAGAACTTTGGCACAAGTGTCAGATATTTTACAGATAATCACCTAAGTGCCTTTTATTTGTGACTATAGTAAGTATTATTTAACACTTTTGTGTTCTGTGATCCTAATCCCTGAGCCAGTGATGGAAAAGTTAATATAAGTAACAGAATTATATAATTGGGAGAAAAGATTTGTCCCCAGAAGTCCTTGTTTTTTTGTTTTTTTTTTTTTTTTTAGATTTTATTTATTTATTTGACCAAGAGAGACACAGCGAGAGAGGGAACACAAGCAGGGGAGTGGGAGAGGGAGATGCAGGCTTCCCACCAAGCAGGAGCCCGATCCAGGGCTCGATCCCAGGACCCTGGGGATCATGACCTGAGCCAAAGGCAGACAATTTTATGACTGAGTCACCCAGGCACCCCAGAAAGGCCTTGTTTTTAAAAGCGGAAATACCAACATTTGATCCAAAGTCCCCTGAAAATTAATTTTTTATTTTTAAGCTGAACTTTTAATTCTAGTGTTCCCTGAAATTCAAATGTGGGGTTCTCGAGGGTGTGTTCCGGAGCCTTCACAGGGAAGCTTGCAGCCAAGGCCTGTGTGGGGGCTCCGTTGCCATGAAGTGTTGAAGGTGTTTGGGAAAATCTCTTAATGTCTCTGGGCCTCAGCTTCCACTCCTGTATGATAAGGTTGTTATTCAAATTCTCCAAAGTGCCTTCCTGCTCAGTTTCTGTGAGTGCGGGAGGGTCTGAGGTGCCTGTTAAGCAGCCCTGGGGACTGCAGCTGAGACCTGACTTGGTCCCTTCTCTGTGTGTCTCCTGCAGGAGCCTGAGCTGAGCCCACACTGAAAACAGAGAACGGAGGGAGCAGATGGAAGATAGAAAATCAGCAGGTTTGGAGGATGAGAATAACCCTAGGAAGGACAAGACAATGGTGGAGCAGGTGGTTGCCAAAGGAGGTAAGAATTAGGACAAGTTGATTTCAGAAAAATTCGGGGAAGCTGAGGAATGCATACAGCAGCATCCAACTCTGCAAGGAGCAGCCTGAGCTGAGCAAAGACGTTGGAAGAGCAACTTCGTCCATGGTGAACCTGTGCACCTGCCGAGGAGCCCCAGAGGATGGATTGTGGTGGTTTATACTGCTGGGAAGCACCGGTTCCAAGAGGAGGAGGATGTGACCATGAGGCTCTGCCCCAGACACCTAGCTCCGACTTGGAGCTACCCACACTGTAGGTGTCCTCCAAGAAAGTGTGTACTGAGAGGGATCAGTGATGTTTGGATAAGGGTTGGAATTGTCCATTCTTAATGCAGATAGTTCTGCCCTAAGTCAGGAAGGGGCAGGGTAGGGGACCCTTGCATCTGAAGCCACATGATTTTAATAATAATCTTAATAATGCTGCCTGGGTGGGCCTTGAATAAAAAGAGTAAAGATCGACTCAGAAAGTGAAGTTTTAGGGAATATAATACATGAGTGGGGTCAAGCGTAGGGTAGTGGGAGGAAAGTTACTGCATTTAACAGCACCTAATGACTTCTGGGAGACAAACTTGACCCTAATCATGGCTCTAGATGCCAAATAACAAAGCAAACCACTTACTTCCATTGGTAACAGAAATGGGAGGCCCTTAATGCCCATAAGAAGCTGGAAAGTTGCTCTGCCTGTTGGGTCATGCAAGAAAACAGATCACTTGAAAGGTGGCTCAAGAAGGGGCTGGGTTGAGTTTGTGACAGTATGCCCTAAGCCTTGGAGAAAAAGGTTTGGGGCTTTAGAAGTTGCCGGTGAGCTGGCTCATAGTAATTTACACAATCTTGGGAAAACATGTCTAGCAAAATTTTGGATTCATTGGACACTAAATATTTAGTCCATGATCTGCAATCATTCTTTCACAGATTACCCACTATTTGCTTGAGCGAAAAATGACTTTTCTATTCTTAGAAACACCAAGGGTGCCTGAGTGGCTCAGGCACTTCAGGGTCTGACTCTTGGTTTTAGCTCAGGTCATGATGTCGTGGTAGTGGAGTCAAGACCCATATTCGGCTCCATGCTCAGCACAGGGTCTACTTAGATTCTTTCTACCTTTCCCTCCTCTCTGTTCTCCCAGCTCACACTTGCTCTCTCAAAAATAAATAAAATCTTTCAAAAGGAATGATGCCCCCCCAAATGCAGATTTA